CCAAGAAAGCAGTAGGCAGACCAAAGGGATCCCGCAACAAAAAGACCTGTAAGCGCAGACACGCCGAATGTGAAACGACCAAGGGGTCGACCGAAAGGATCCACGAAGACAGCCATTGCAGCCAAGAAAGCACATGCAGAAAGCTGAGGTCAAACCAAACAACGACACGTGAGCATCATGTTCAGTTCGACAATCAAGAGCCACTTCATTTTGCTCACACTGTGTTCGTTTATTTATTATCCTGCAACGTGTGTCATGTCTAAGGTGTCGACAGGGTTTTATGTAAACCACACGAAATAAAAGTACCGTATTCCTTATGTGATTGGCGACAGTCAAATTCTTGAGGTGGTCCAGCCTTTCTGCCAGCATAAAAGATACCTGCATAGAAAAACTATTTTACATGCTCAAAATTATATTGGTCGCCAAGCAGAAATTTAAATCAATTTGATTGGCTGCTGGATTTGTCGCTAATGACCGAGCGTCGCCAATCACATAAGGAATACGGTAAGATGAAAAGACACAAAATCTGAGAACACTGAGGGTGCTTCCATGCTTACAAATCTCAAGTAGGTGCAACCGTGAGTGTAGGGGTACTTTAATTGCTTTTTCCTTTCTCTTCAAACTGAAGAACGCCAGGCAGGAATAACGTGCACGCCAGACGCAAGCAAAGCACCGCGACCTCTTAACTCCACCCCCTCTATCATGAACAAAGCAAACAAGCGCCGCGAGACTGACGTCATGAAGCTGTGCGTGTCTACCATGATGCCATTTCAAGATGCCAATGAACGGGACATTTGAGAGTGTGTCTTTATTCATATTTTTTCCTGACTTGAGCAGCATGATGAGCGACTACGAGGTGCATCTAACGGACGAGTCCAAGACGAGCGACCTCGACGTTAAGTTTCACGGACCAAAAGATAGTGCGTGTCTTGTTGAGAGCGCAGGAGGCTCTCCGTTCTGACGGCGCTTCTGTCTCTTTTGTGTGTGGGAAGCTCCGTACGAAGGAGGCTCCTGCAGATCACGTGACGCTGCCCTAAAGACTATGGATTCAGTCTCCGTCCATTGGCTTCGTGAACCGCATTTACCACCCCAATGTGGACGAAACGTACGATCGTGATTTTCTCTCGAAAGCCTAACAACAGACTGACAGCTATTGCGTCCTGTTGACTATCAGATCGGGTTCTGTTTGCCTGGACGTGATCAACCAAACGTGGAGCCCGATGTTTGGTGAGACTGCGCATGAAATAAGCTACTGTGGAGTAGACTGACACTGTTGCTGCTTGTGTTTTATAGAGCTGGTCAACATTTTCGACATGTTCATCCCACAACTACTGCGATACCCGAACCCAAGCGACCCACTGAACGGTGAGGCGGCCTCGTTGCTCATGAAGGACGCCGAGTCGTACAATAGAAAAGTGAAAGGTCCGAGACTTGGCTGTTGCACCTGCGAGTTGAGAGTCTACACTGAGTTGTATTAATTTTCCTGATCGTATAGAGTATGTGCGGAACTACGCGTCGCAGCCCATTGAAATGGGCAACCAGGAAGAAGACAGTGATGTCAGTGACATGAGCGATATCGAGTAGCGCTTTCTCGCTCTCTCACGCAACCCCTGACAATCTCCAGTAGACCGATTGCTTGCATTATGAGCGGAAAATGACGCGACGCCACCTTACATCATCCAGATGTTACATTGTCGCCTCGCTGCATGTCCGGAATGTTTCATTTTGTAATTCCTCTCCATGTCGTAACAAAAAGAAAGGAATAACACTTTATTGGTTTTTATTCGCTATTTTATTTCAAAAGTTTATGAATCTCATGAAGTTCGACTCGTTACTTGGAGTGGACGCATCGGCCTTTCTCTGAATGTAATGAGCGTTCCGGCGAAGGCGATCGCTCATGTTGCTTTCGTCATCCAGATATGCCTCCGAGTGCAGTTTTCTTCAACGACAACAACGAGAGTTGTTAGTGGGTGAATCACTTGGAGCAGAGAAAAGAAAATGAAGACGTACCTGAGAAACTCCGGGTTGCTGCGTGAAGCCTCGTGCTCTCGCTTGTCCAGTTCGTCCTTCTTCAGCGTCGCACGCTTGGCAATGTATTCATCGCGTTGTTTCGCATCTTCCACCATCTGCTGAGCCATTTGCCGTTTTTCCTCGTCTGTAAGCTCACAATGGTCTCCGCGAGAAGATTTCCCAAGCTTGCGTCGACGTTCTTCTTCCTCAAGACGTTTCGCTTGACGGGCTTTCTCCAAGTACTTGGCGTTCGGCCCCAACGATGACGTATCGATATCCCTGGACGCCACAGCACCTGCCTTACTGATAAGCCCGTACTTTCCGTCTGGATCAAGGAGCTTACGTCTCGATTCAGACGTCTTGTGTCGTTCTTCTTCGTCACGAGTATTAGCGGATTCCCTCGGACGCTCGCGAGACGAGGTTCGCTCATGACGCGTACTTTCACGTCTGGGAGAGCTACGATCGCGTCGGTTATCTCGTGTTCGACCGAAGTTATCACGTTCTCGGGGACTCCGGCTACAGCTGCGGCCTCGTCGCTCGTGTCGATGAGTACTGCGGCTTCTGCTGTGATAGCGACGGTCACGAGTCGGGTTTGGACCACGTCGGTCTCTAGACGATCCTCTTCCGCGTCGCTCCTCGGTAAATCGATCCCGACTCGATCGATTATTTGCCTCACGGCGCGCTGGTTCTCTATCGCTGTGACGCGGACGACTACAATCTCGACTACTGCGATGACGTACAGAGCGTGGTGACTTCGATCTCGAATGGGATCTCCCTCTCTCTCGATCACGCCCGTGTCCACGTTGACGCTTGGAAAGATCATCTTTGTGTCGATAATCAGCCCTCTCTTCGTTTTCATCAGCACTGGCCTCACTCCCACTGTCATAAACATGTTTTCTCTTCAGGCGTCGCTTCTCCTCTTTCCGAGCGTGCTTCTTTTCCTTCTTAACAGCTTTCTTCGCTTTCTTGCGAGCCTTTTTATCTTCCTTTAAGCGATCCACTTCGTCCTTGATTCTCTTCATCTTGACTGGATTCTTAAGAACTTGTTCGCGAGCTGCCTGTTGCCTCTTGCGGATGAGCATCATGGGGTCCTCGTTTAGCCGCTGGAAGGCATCATTGGCCGGCAATGCGCTCTTTGTTAGTACCAGGGAGCCGTACTTGGTAGTCGTGCTCAAATTTACGTCCCCTTTGGCTGCCTTCTCCTCCTCACCATTGTACTCTTTGCCCAAGAGATACTCCTCCGCCGTCTTTTCTCGTGAAGCCGACGGCCCTTCGTACATCCAGTCTAAGCGCTCCATGGCCGCCGACTTGTCGCCCCGTGCTGCCTGCAGCTGTCGCAGCTCCTGGAGCTGCCGCTCTTCCTCAATGTTCTTGCGCAGCTCCGCGACTTTCTGCTCTTCGGCCGCATGCTTCTGCTCAGCAATCCAGACCTTCTCCACATTCTGCAAAAACCCAAAAGGGAACGATTATAGTTGTGAGCTCATTTCTAGGGAGCATTGAGCGCAGCGAATGACTGGGGATAAACAGAAATGCAGATAATGAGCAGTAACAGATACGTACGCGCAGGTTGGCCGTATGCCAGCTCTTCTTGGACAGGAACGCTAACGACATATTGCACGGCCCGTGCAGCAGTGCTCAATCTACTTGTAGTGTAATTCACACCAATTTTCCTATAAATGCTAAGTTATTTTAAAATTAGAAGTAAAACTCGGAGGAACCATTTATATTTCGGACCATATTTTCAACTACTTTTTAATTGGGCCTGCATTTCCAAGTTCCTCTTTAAAAAAAGAATACCTGAATTCAATTCTCTAGTGAGGGTATTTCTTCCGGATATACTTTGGTATGTTGTGCTGGGCTGTTTTTACGGTCTTGCCAGTGATGTTCTGATGAAATTACAGAAAACTTGCTCGATGCCTGTAACTTCGTTACTTCGCGTAGCTATTGGAGCTCCTTCGTACTCGAGGCATTGAGGCGCCTTCAAAAATTATCGCAAATCGCAAATGTAGACGGCACAGATCCTGTTGCAGTACAAGTAGGTAGGTATTGCAAAACCGCTCGCATTTTGCAAAGACCAATTTGAAGTCTCTGCAGATTGCGACGTCTCAAACGCGTCCAACCAAACGCGGTTGGGCAGCAAGCGCCTTCCTACATCGAACTAGCAGTACCTCCATTACTATTAAATTTGTCACGATGGTCCGAGGAAGAGGCTGGACAGCGCCTGAGACTCTGTACATGCTTGGCCTGGTCGAGCGAATCCTTCCGTTTGGATCAAACCAGTGGAGTGCGGTGCAGCTGGAGTACAATACCAAGCTTCCCGACGGTTTTACAGCACGTGATGCTGATGCTATTAGGCGGAAGTTTTACGCTCTGAAGAGCACGCGCAAACCAACAGGAGATCCGTCTTGCCCAGCAGATGTCGCTCAAGCCAAGCGCGTTCAGGGCCCCCGAAAAAAAAATTGACGACACAGTAATTTCAATAAATAAGCAGACATTATTTATGCTGTCACCCTAAACTAGGCTCGTGCATAATTTATGGTGGCTGCATATTACATACGGTAATTTATGCGTACAGTTTCCTGAAGTTATCTGCAGCAGTCAATCGATCGCCAACGAACCAGTCGTTTTGTTGCCGAATCGGCTGATCTCAGCAGACTCATTTCCTTTTCTCTCACTTCCCACTTTAGAAATGATTCTCTTCCTGCGCGAAAATGCTGGTTACTGAGACGCACAAACACTTGACACAGCAACTCGAGCGTAGATACCTGTTATTGATTCAATAAACCTTGGTTATTGCAGCAGTAACTCAATTATTTATTGGTCTTCTAGCTAAAGCATCATAACGTATTGCCAACATACAAGCTAGCTTCGCGATAATTTATCGTGAAGATGCTACTACGATAAATAACAATATCATTTTCGGACCCCCTGAGCGCGTTTATCGGCTCATCGAAAATCAGTGCGGCGTGCTGCTGCTAGACGACACGGTAACGTCAGCCCAGGAAGCTCCCTTAAGGACGACTGACGGGGAGAATCCGACGCATCACCCTAAGGAGACATCTCTTAGCATCGTAACGACGTCCCTCACCCAAATGGAGTGCGGGGCCGCGGACATAAATGCCTCCAAGTCAAGCACAGTTGGCAATTCTACCCATTAATGCCTCGCTGTTCATTTACTAAATCTAACTTATAACAATATTTGGATAGGAATCGACAACAGCATCTGCTGCTGGTATTTCTCGCACCGGCAGGACATACCATGAGCTAGAGCAGCTAAGTAAGAAGATCCAAGCCGATAGTACTGAGGTACTGTCCGAGTCTGCTCGAAGGAGGCGCAAAGTTAATCGTCTTATTCACAGGTTAGAGTCGAACGACAATGACGATTGGTGCATCGCTATTGTAGCGATGGAGGAATGCAACGCTACTCGGCAGCTAGAATACCGCCGCGAGCGCTATGCCCAGCGCCGCCAAGATGAGCTGGGGCGTCAATCGCAAGCTGAACGCCGCGAAGAGCGAGAGAGACTGCGTGAGGAGCGACTCTTAGCCCTTATTGCTGAGATAGCCAAAACCCGAGATTAGATTAAAGGCATGGAGAGCCGAGGTGGTACGAACATTTATTGCTGTATGAAGACGGAGCTAATCTGACTTATTTCAGTTTGACGAACTCGAAAATCATAAAGTCGGTAAATGTTGTTGATGCGTCTACCACGCTTGACAGGGTCGAAGGGTACCGATAACTATAATGACCCATAGCATTGTGGTGCCCCCCCCATTCCCCACTCAGCGGCTTGTCGGAGCGATGTTATTGCGTTGCTGATAGCAACCATGCACAGGCGGCACTTGATGGGCGCACTGAAGATCACCGTCCTTTAGTAGCGTAGCAATACACCCTCCCATCCCTTTCGTCACGGGAAATGCCGTGTCGGCAGCAACCCCAGTACCCGGGACTGTTAATCTGCTGTCTGCTAATTTCTCTTGCAGGGCGAAGTTCATCTCCCCGTCATTCCAGGAGCCAGGGCCGTTGTGCTGCCCCCAGACTATAATACCATCACAGCCGTAGCATTACGTCCTCGTGCCAAGTATAGAATGCAGCCAACCTAGCGATAACAAGGAGGCGTCAGCAAATGTACAGTAGCATATTCTAAATAGCTCTCACCAGTATAGTGTGCATTTTGTAAGTCGATGTCGGAGGGCTGCTGAGCTCGATAGTTCTTTCCATCCACGAGCCCCAGAGCAACCTCAGCAGTAGCAATGACATTTGAAAGAGTCAATGGTGGAATACCAAATATCTCGCACAGAGTTTTCTGCTCTATAGCAGCAGTGTAGTAGTGTAAGACACAGCCAAGAACTGCATGTTGGAACCGTAGCTTGGGTGGGCGTCCTCGCTGGCCAGGACGCCACTTAGGCTTGTAGAACTTGGAGAACTCGGCAAGAAGTACCTCAAACGAGGCAGGAGGCAGCGAAACGACTGCCACAAAGCTGCCGTAATGTCCGTCATCATAGATTTTCTGCCATACAGAGTCTGAAGGATCGTGTAGACTCGCCACAGTTAAATAGCTCCTTTTTTAATGCTGCTTCTAAGACTATGCAGCAGCACGAGCTTCCTACATCGACGCCGGTGTGCAGCAAATTTTGCGGTCACCACGGTCTTGACGTTCATTTGGCAAAGTTCGAGCTCCCGCAGCCAGGCAAGCCGGTAGCAAATTTGTCTGATTTTCTTTTAGAGATTTGAACCGCAAATATCGTCACAAATGCACTTGTTGGCTATCGCATTTCTGCACGCAAATGCCTATTGAATTGTGCTCTGCGTCATTTTCTAAAGGCTCACATTGGCAGTATTCTAGTTCTTCGATATCTTTTATGGTTTATATTTTAACTGTTCTCGTCTCTGTGGTTTGAATTTTTGGTCGTTTGCGATTAAAATTAGCTTTCACTGCAAAATTGTAAGATCCTCAGGGTTTCAGTGCATGCGAGAAACAAAACTTAACCCCTTTAACCCTTAGGAAAAACAATTCGGCTTAGAGCTGTTGAAATACTTCTTCTCAGCAAGCCGATGGTCACTCAAAGTGATGACATACATCACGACAAATCAACCACATGCAATATCACTCCGTCAAACTGACAATGTTCGCCTTGCTGCTAAGATCGCCGATCTTGTCGACACGTCTAACAACTTGCGCACTTTCTAATCCGTTCGCGAAGAAAGCGTGCCGCGAATCGGTGTTACCTTCCTTTGTGAGATGGCCAGCATGTCCGTCGAAAAAGGCAACCGGTACATGGCTAACATCCACAGTCTTATCTCCAAACGTCTTGAGATCGCTTTCAATGTGATGCGCGTAGCGTTCGCCAGCAACGCCGAGTATTGTCTAGCACCAAGAAATATTCTTGGTGTAAACCATGATGGCCACGCATCAGTTTCCATTTACTGAGCTGCATTCAGGACTGACTTTATCTTTTCCCTTAGGTAAACACGAGACGATCGTTCTGTATAGTTTCATCCCTTCTTGTGCCACGTTAGTAAGGTGTTTCGACGCCATCATTCGAAGACGACATGAGCACATTCGCTTGACGTATACTTGAACAAAGTCTCTTTGTGCCAGACTCGTGACTATCGGAGCCACTGGCTCTGGTCTGCCCAAATCGTCAAGTGCATGTTCGACGCGAAGTGGAGATGCTGATTTTCATCCGCATAGAGAAAGCCGTAGCGAATCAAACTCTCCAGTGCCTCGGCACGAGATACTCTTCAAGATTTCGAGTATAAAACGAGTTTGCCAAAAGCAACATCTTTTAGAGCATGTTCACAATATCAACCAATACCTTCTCAGTACGGATCATTTTGCAAATAGCTTCGGGGCTCGGGGCACCTTCTCCCGTCCGGCAAATGTTTTCAAGCAGCTTGACTGACCGAAGCACTGACTCGATCTTGCCGGCATTGATAGGATCATCTGAGCCAAACGCGTTGTTTAGAAACTTGAGCATCGCGTAGCTGATCCCAATGTGACCGGAACAGAGATTCCAAATTGATTCACACCTTTTTTGTCCAAATCTAATTCGACCAACCATTTCTTTCAGCTCGGTACGCGAGAGTCTTAAGCCTGGTTTAGTCGACGAGACGTCCAGATCGAAAACAAACTCTGGTGAAATCCAAACAGGACGGCCGCCCTCATTAAAGCTGCGAAGCGATCTCTGCTCCCATACGAAGCAAACACCACAAAGCGTATGCGTGACTGTGACTCGAAAATGCCTTTCGCAAATCCAGCCCATAGCTGGTGATCTTTGTAGGGTGAGTTGTGCTTCATCAATGACTACCACCTTTTCTGATTTGCTCTCGAAGAACCGTCCAAAATCACGACCATACAAACGTCGAAAACATGTCGATACAACCTCCCCCAGCTTAAGTTGTTGGCTTGAATGAGCACAACCCTAGCATCCACCTTGGATCGAATTATTTTTATTGTTGAGTAGATGGAACATCGCAGTCTTTCCAGACATCGGGGGTGCGCGGATCCACAACAACCAATAATAAGGTCCGTTTTTAGTTAAAAATCAAACTGAAAAACGGCTTGATAGTTTCTCCTCTTAGGGTTATAAAAGCGCTTGGGACTCCTCTG